CCTAAACCCTCAACCCTAAACCCGACACCTTAAACCCAAATCCCTACACCGGTAAGCCCCTAAACCCTACACCCCTTATCCCGAAACCCCTAAACCCGAACTCCCGAAGTCCTCAGGCCCTACACCTGAAGGCCCGAAGAAGGGGTTTGGGTTTAAGGTTTAATTCTTTTTTTAGGGTTTAGGGTTTAGGGTTTAGGATTTTAGGCCTTGGGTTTAGGATTTAGGGTTGAGGGTTTAGGATTTTAAGGCCTGAGGTTTAGGGCCTAGGGATTCTGAGGAACAACTTCGAGAATTCCGCATCGTGGACGCGAAGTGCGTCTGCTGCGATGTGGGCCACGTGGACTTGAGCCTGGGATCGGCGGTCATCTGCGACAGAGAGATTGTGGGGGAAGCTGGGCTAGGGTTTAGGGTTTAGGGTTTAGGGTGTTTAGGTTTTGTGAAGGAATGCGATGTAAGTTAGCGCCATAGTAATAAGGAGGAATCCATATTACATAATATGGTTTCCTTATTATGGTAGTTTGAATCAAACTCCTTAGCAGAAACCAAGGAATGCATCACTGAATGGTTTGGGTCTGTGGATGGCTTCGAAAGCTCCCTGGCAACCGTGCTTGTTTTGAGTTTAGGGTTTAGGGTTTACGACTAAATACCGCATTGATTGAGCAATTCTCAGATAACGCCCAATTTCCTGAGCCTGACTAGTGGCCAGTTTTTTCAAGCTTAAACCCTAAATGCAGACGGTCTTCACACACCCATGAACCCTCAAACCCACCCCAACCCCTCGCCCTGTGAACCCCTAAACCGTAAAACCCTAAACCACTTTGCAGCACCCCTAAGAGAACTTTCAAAAGCCGCTTGAAAGGACACCGAAATCCTAAAACCTATAGTCCTAAAGCCCGAACCCCAACTCAAACCCCAAACCCTAAACCCTCAAACACCAAAGCCCAAAACCCCAAAAATCCCTAAACCCTAAACCCTAAACCCTCAAACACGAAAGCCCACAACCCCAAAAATCCCAGAACCCCGAGACCCCCAAGAGAAGAGAGGCTCGGTGCGCTCCACGGTGTCGAAGGCTCTCTCTGGGCAGCTGGGGCATTTCCCGTGCCCGCCGCTTCTCTTCGCTTTTTTGGGTTTATGGGGGGTTGAGGGTTCAGGGTTCAGGGGTTTAGGGTTTGGGGTTTAGGGTTTAGGGTTGAGGGGTTTAGGGTTGAGGGTAGAGGGTTCAGGATTCAAGGTTTGGGGTTCTTGTGGGGATCTTCTAGGGGGGTTCTTTTACAAGGGTCTCTGGGTTCCGCTTAAGGGTTCTGGTCTGGAAACGCAAGAGCCCTACTTAAAAGATCATGGGACTTAGTAACCTTAGTAACTAGGGTTATAATTAAGGTAACTATACTTATAATTACTTATGACCCCAATTAAGGTGCTTATAACCCTACTTACTAAGTCCCATGATCCTTGAAGTAGGACCAGAAACCCTCAACAAGGTATGCTTGGCTGCTGCGGGCCACTTCCCCAGTCTTGTGGGCGCACTTTGACATGGTGGCAGCACGCTCTTTGGATTGAACAGCTCTCAACTTGAGTTGCGGGTTGCTTTCAGGCGGGCGAGGGTTTAAAGCTTTATCCTAAGCCCTAAACCCTAAGCCCTAAACCCTAAACCCTACTCCCTAAACCCTAAACCTCAAACTCTAGGTTGGTGTTGGAGGCGCTGCGGGTTTCAGGGTCGTTTCGCCACTTTTGCCACCCAAAGCATCCCTTGAAGCTTAGGCTAGGGCAGCTAGTACGGTGTTAGGCTGCATGGTAAACCCTGAAAACAACCTTAAACCGCTTCAGCGTCGGTCTCATCACAGACACGCCAACCTCGGCACAAGACGGAAACCTTGTGCCCTAAACTCGAGACCCTAAACCCCAACCCAAGAACCTAACTAACCCTTAGGGTTTAGGCTTAGGGGCTGAGGCCCTTAACTCGAAATCCTAAGCCTAAACCGTGTACCCAAAGGCCCCTAAGCCTTATGCCGGCCTAAACCCTGAAGGCCCGAGAAAAGCCGGTCCACACCGTAGCAGCAGCCCATAGCCAGGTAGTGATATTCCTTACATGTTTATGGTATAACCCCCGCTTCTGGCCCGAGACGGATTAGGGTTTAGGGTTTAGGGGTTCATTCAGGCCTCCGTCTGTGAATGTCAAGGCAGACTGTAAGAAACTGTCCGAGGAGTACCAGAATTGCTCGGAAATCATAGGTTTAGGGTTTAGGGTTTAGGGTTTAGGGTTTAGGGTTTAGGGTGAAATCATACCTCCCAACTCCTGATCGCCAAACCTTTTTTGCCAAAAAAGTTTCCGACAGCCCCGCACCCCTCGAACTCAGGCCCTAAACTACCCCAAACCCCAACCAGCGAAACCGAACGGCTCTGAGATAAAAGCCCCAAACCCTTCACCCTGACCCTCAGTGCAGATTCTGAAGCCCTCAAGCTCTACAGCCCTAAACGTGTCCCAGGCTAACCTACAAAATCCCAGAGGCCTCCAAATGCGCAGGAAGCAGAAAAAAACAATCCAGGCAAGCACCCAAGTCAAGTCGCTTAAAGAGGCGCTAGCCCCTAAACCCTAAACCCTAAACCTTAAAAAGAACCTTCATGGGCTTTCGAGACGGCGATCTGCGGATCGAAAAGAAGCCCCCCCCCCCCCGAAAAGAAGGAACCCGGAAAGGGCTTCCAACCAAAAGCTCCTCAAAAAAGCCTAAACCCTAAACCCTAAACCCTAAACCCTAGACCCTAAACCCTAAACCAAGGCATCCACTCGGGCGACATCGAATATGCCGTTGCCGTGGCCATCCAGGCGCTTGCTTGGTCCTTGGCCTTGAACTTAAGCGTTTCAGGTTTAGGGTTTAGGGTTTAGGGTTTGTGCAGAGACTTTCATGTTACGTGCCTTCTTTTAGACTGTTTCACAGGTGCATAGCGCGGTTTTGACAGTGCTTTGGAGGGTCTCGGAGGGGTTTAGAAGGCTTGGTAAGGTCTTGAGGCGAGGTTTATCGGTGTTTTGAACCCAAGCTGCGAAAGAGTAACGTTTCCCTAATCCCTAAGCCCTAAACCCTAAACCCTAAACCCTAAAGTAGTGCTCTGACAGCTTGGGTTTCTTTGTTTTCGGACCTTTGGGCGAAGGAAGATCGGACGTAGGGTGGGGATCTAGTCTAATGCAGCAGCGCGAGGGCTTTATCGTGTAGGGTCGGGTAGGTTTTAGGCTTGCTGTTGCTTTTACAGTGCCTTCGGTATTATTGTTAAAATATTAAGTATTGCTGTTGTTGCTATTATTATTACTAATGCTGATGATTCAGACTTCTACTAGGCTTTTGAGGTCTGGAATGAAGAAGGCCCCTTTGTCTGCAGCTCCTTTTAGACAACATCGCATCCGTAAGGTCTGACACTCACAGAAACCAGAGCCCACGTTCACACCATGAATGCCATTATGCACCTCTTCAAGCCCATCATAAGCCCCTCTTCAACGCCTCATACCCCCTAGTACTACCCTTATCAGACCCTGACGTTTGCCCTGCAGCCGCGGCAAAACCCTCGCAGCAAAAGTCAAGACTCATTAACACCGCCATAGACCCTAAACCCTAATCCCAAACGAAGGTGGCTGGCTCTTTTCCCGAGTTCCCTCTTTCTGGTGGCTGTCTCCTACAAATGCTACGAGCGGCCGCGACGAGGTCGCTTGGCTTTGGGGGTGTAGGAGTTAGGGTTTAGGGAGTGTTTAGGGTTCAGGGTCTAGGGTTTAGGTTTTGGTTTTTGGAGTCCGGCATCGGAACCTAAGATTCAGGATTTCAGGGGATAGAAATTTGAAGTTTAGGATGGATGCCTCCCGGTGCTCGTCTTTTGACTCAAGGATTCGCCGTTTATACCTATGTACATACTCTGATTGAACCGCGCTCCCAGACGTGGTTGAGGAACCCTAAACCCTAAACCCTAAACCCTAAACCCTAAACCCTAAACCCTAAACCCTAAACCCTAAACTTTAGGGTTTAGGGTTAAGGTCTGATTGAGCCACGCTCCCAGGCATGCTGGAACTTGCCACATTCGGCCTGAGTCTCCTTGCGCCGGTGCCTTTTGTGAACAGTGGAGCCCCTGAGCCCTAAACCCTAAACCCTTAAACCCTAAGCCCCTAAACCCCTACACCCTAAAACCCTGAACCCTCAAACCCCTAAACCCTAAGCCCTTAAACCCTAAACCCTAGACCGTTTGAGGGTTTCGTGCGTACGGGTTTAGCATCTAGGGTTCAGGTTGGGAGTTGGGGTTTATTTCAGGGCTACAGAGGTGTAGTAGCAAAGTGCTCGTACAACGACAGTAAGACACAGGTCCGCAGTTGCGGTCATAGCCGTGGTCATTTTCACCCTAAGCCCTAAACCCTGACCCCTAAACCCTAAACCCTAAACCCTAAACTCTAAACCGTGTAGCAGTGGTGATGGTGATGCCACAGCCATGGCACAACAGCTCGCAGTTCCCTGTGGGAGACCCTTGAGGCTTACTTGGAGGATCACGGGACTTAGTAAGTAGGGTCATAAGTACCTTAATTGGGGTTTATAAGTAATTAATAAGTATAGTTACCGTATTTATAACCCTAGTTACTACGTCCCATGATCCTTGAGGCTTAAGGTTGTTGTTGCCCAGGAGTCTGTGGGCCTACTGTAGGGACCTTAATAATTAGTGCGGAAAGCCTCGTTTGCACTGATATGTGCCCACCCCAACCGGCCCACGTGCTAGGAACTGCAGCACATGGGTAGGGGCGGACGCGTGCACCGTAAGGGCAATGCACATCATCTCCTACAATTAGAATAGGGTTTTGAGGGTTCCTTTAACGGGTTCCTTAGGGGGTTCTATAAGGGCTACTATAAGGGTTTAGGGTGTATTGGCCTT